GATGCGCGAGTACCACAAGTGGCGCATCTACTACAAGAAGCGGGTCAGTGGGAGCCCATGGTGGGAGCTCAGAGCTTCCCTGCCTCTGCCAGCCCCCGCACCCCCCACCCCCACGTCCGCCCTCCGGGAAGTGCTGGGCGGACAGCGCCACCGTGTGGTAGCAGGCTCTCCTCACAACCTGCTTATTCCCCCGGTCGGCTGGGGACCGAGCCAAAAGGGGATCCCCCATGGGATGGGGATGGCGGGAGGGGGCGATCAGGAGGGGACCCAATGTGCAGTTCTATTCCCGCAGCTCCGTAAGTCCAGCAGGGAAGGGGATCTCTTGGCCCCCAAGCAGGTGGGTGCTGGGTAAGTCCCACAGGGCAGGGAATCTGGGGTCCCTAGGTAGGTGGACTGCGTGCGCGTGGCTGGGCGTGAGGGTGGGCTGCAGGGGAGTGGACGTGGCCACCATCCTCGGGGTGGTTCCTTGAGTATTTGCCCCTTGGGAAGCAAAGTCATGGGCAGACTCCCAGGTGACGAGAGGTGTGCGGGAGGTGGCACCCTATGGACCCTGGCTCCTCCTGACAGAACAGAGTGTAGCCGCACGAGGGAAACTGGGGCAGTCGGTAAAGGCGCCTTGGCCCTCCAGGCAGCAAACCGGGAAAGGTGGGGTGGTGAGTCTTGGGGACGGGGTGGTGACCACTCTGTGTCGCTAGGCCGAAGGGGGGTGGCCGCCGCCAGAGCGATGGTGCCAGCAGCTCTTCTCCAGCGTGGTGCCCGTGCTGCTGGGGGGCCCCGAGGAGGAGCCTGGTGGGCGGCAGCTCCTGGACCTCGACTGCTTTCTGTCCGACATCTCGGACACGCTCTTCACCATGACGCAGCCCAGCTCCTCGGCCCTGCAGCTGTCCCCCGAGGACGGTGAGGGCCTGTCCAGGGTACTGGGCAGGGGAGAAGGGCTTGGGCACCCAAGATCGGGATGGGGCAGGGGTAGGTGCCCTCAACTCTACCCTGCGTGCTGTTCCTGATGTCACCACTACTTCTCCAGCCTATGTTGGCAATGCTGACATGATCCAGCCAGACCTGACACCCTTGCAGCCCAGCCTGGATGACTTCATGGAGATCTCAGGTGGGGCAGGGCTCTCCCAGGGAGAGACGGGCAGGGAAGGCAATCTGGGGCATTTCTGAGTGGTTTTTCTGGTCTTCCTTGGCCTGAGGTCCAGATGCGGTGCTGTGGCCCCCTCAGATGAGGGTAGGGCCAGGGGCTCTGAGGCTGCAGAAAAGCTGTGGATACAAGGAGAAAAGAGAAGGACTTGGATCTGTGTGGTTCTATGTATTATTTGCATCATACATTCCTAAATGTGTTCGTTAACTAACACTTCAAACATACATACAAGAAGAGAGACTAGGTCAGCAAATCCCCGTGTCACCATTGTCCCCAACTTACTGACTCACTGCTGGTTTATCTGAAGGCCCCCACCCCTGCTTCTTTTTGTGGAGACAGGGCCTCACTACATAGTTCAGGCTGACCTTGAACTCACTATGTGCCCCAAGCTGGCCTCAAAGTCTTGGTGATCCTCCTGCCTCAGCCTCTTGAGTGTTAGGCTTACAGGCATACATGAGTTCTCCTGGATCTCTCCAGCACTATTTTTAAGAGAATCCCAGGCATCAAGTTCTATTCCCACCCTACCCCACATTGGGGATTGAACCTGGGACCATCATACTGAGCTACATCCCCAGCCTGCCTTTATTTATTTATTTATAATTTTTAGGCAGGGTCTTGCTAAGTCACTAAATTGCCCAAACTGGACTCTAATTTGGAATCCTCCTGCATCAGCCTCTAGAGTACTGGAATTGCAGGCATGCAACCACCCGAAATCTGGTTCAGATTTCATAAAGCAGTTTTGTAAAGCGATGAGTTTTCTGTCTCTTCTCCTGCCCCCAGTGCCACCAAGTTCCTGGTCTCCTGGTATCTCTCCACAGATACTCTCATGCTGATGTAAGCAGGGCCTCTTTTTTTCATGATGGACTCTTTCCTATGTTGGTTTCCTCACTGTGCTATAGGTTTTGCAGGCTGTCCCCATGTACAAGAATTTAGGGGGCCTCCAGAACTACTGGGGCACAGGTGAACCTCAGGGCTTGGCCTGACTCAGCCCAGACCCACGGGGCAGAAAGAGAGTCCCTAGCACACAAGCTTCAGTTCAGGGACCCTCCAGCTCTTTCCCCACAGGGTCCTGGGCACATCAATCAAGAGGTGGAAGCCTATGGGGCGGGGACTGGGGAATGAGGAACCTCCCCCAGGCCTGGGCTGGGTGGGGGCTGTCAGGGGCAGAAGTGTAGATGGCGGTGTCCTGGAGGCAGAGCAGCCAGGGAGGGCGGCCACCCTGTCTGGGCACGCAGACCCCTGGCACAGGTAGGAGCCCACTGTGCCCATCTGGGCTGGGGGCAAAACCCAGAGATGGGCTGGGGGGGTGACTGCTGTCCCTCCAGGGGGCTGCTGGGCGGGGGCACATAGGGTCATGCAGAGCAGGTGCAGCATGCGCTGGCAGGGCAGTGAGCACTGGGGCCCAGAGCTTCCCTCTGAGGGTCCCCAAGAGGCCCTCACTGGAGGGGCAGGGCTGGAAACCCCGAGAGAGCAGAATGAGCGGGCCAGGGGCTGGGCGAGGTGGGGTGCGAGAGGGGTCACATCGGAGGATCAGGCAGTGAGGAGCAGGGGTCATGCAGGAAGTGGTTTCTCTCAAAGCGGGGTGGGGACAAGTGGGCAGTGGTGGTGAGGGGATGGCTGGGACTCGGCGTGAGGTGTGCTTGTCACTCCGTGCCCTCTGCTCGAGCCCTGGGGCTGAGCAGGGAGCCCAATGGGAGGCTGGTGCTAAAGCACAGGGCCTCAGTCTGCCTACGGAGAAGGCCTATGGTCTCATCAGCAATCACCGCCAGGTCCCACCCATCCCCCTGTGAGAGAAAGGCAGCAGGAAAGCAAGAAGCCACCTTCTAGTTGGGCATGGTGGTACATGCCACCTGCAATTCCACCACTCTGGGAGGCTGAGGCAGGAGGATCTCACCTTTGACCCAAGCCTGGGTGACTTCGTGAGACCCTGTCTAAATAAATAAATAAAGGGCTGGGGATGTAGCTCAGTGCAAAGGCCTCGGGTTCAATCTCCATGACAAAGAAAGGGGGTGGGGTGGAAGCCAACTTCTAACCAGCTGCTGGGAAAGACATGTGGGCACAGAGCAGATAGATGTGTACACACCAAGCCTGTCACAGCCCTGACAGGGACTCAGAGTGTTGACGTAGGGGCAGGGAGACTGGCAGAGGCTTCATGCCTGACACCCAGGCCCCCGTCTCACGACAGAGCACAGGCACCTAAGACAGACAGACAGACACACAAGCAAGTACACACACAGCTGATCCTGTATGTCCTGGTTTCTGTGTACCCTTCTCTAACACTCCTGTACAGGGTCTGGATGGAAAGGGTGGGCTGGGCCATACCAGGCCAGGTGGGAACTGGCACCGGGGCCTGGGTCTGACCAGCCCCAGTGGCCTCGGGAACTGGCACAGGCTGGCCAGGGTCAAAGAAAGGTGCCCGGAAGGGAGCGGGCAGGCGGGCGGCGGCGGCCAGGCCCGGGATGTGGTTAGGCCACAGGCAGCTGCTTCCCAAAACCAGAATAGCCCGGGGCTTACACAACCGGTACCCCAAACACTCCAGCCGCCCAGCCCCAGCTCCTCCAGGCTCCCAGCCCCCCTCACTCCTGCCCGTGCTGGGCCCCTCTGACCCCTGACTGTCCCCTCTTGGCCCTTCCCCTCACCCCAGGCTGTGCTGTCACAGCCCCATCTGTCCATCTCCCCAGTCTGCCTTCTCCGTCTCAGAGCCACTGCCCTCCTGACTTCTGTTGCCCCTAACTCACGCTGAACTCCTACCACCTGGGGGCTCCTCCCCTGCACCCCACCCTTTTCCTTCCTAAGCCTTTTCTGTGACCCCACTTCCTAGACAGAGGTGGTAAGGGGATGGACAGGGACCTAGAAGGGGCCCTGGGAGCCCAGGCATGGGACTCCTTGGGGTGCTGCTTTCTGGGGACCCTGCTCACCCCCTGCCAGCCCCTCCATCCCGGCTCTGGCCCTGCACCCCAGCCTTTGGCTGCTTCCCTTGAGCCAGACAGAAGCTCCCCCAGTTTCACAATCGCCTGTGGAAGCCCCCCTCCCCCTCCACTCCACCCACTCCACCCCCGGGGACAGGGCCCAAGGCCAGCATGAGCCCTAATCGCCGCCGCCCTGTGTGTCCAAATTACAGATTTCTTCACCAACTACCGCCCCCCACAGACGCCCATGGCTTCAAACTTCCCGGAGCCCCCCAGCTTCACCCCCGTGGCTGAGTCCGGCTTCAGCAGTGGGATCCTGGCCCCGGAGGTGCCCCCAGTCTCCTTGGGATTGCCCCAGCTCCCAGGACAGAATCGCTTGCAAGTGAGTCACCTTCCCTGAGCAGCCCGCCCAGGTCACCTCCAGCCCTGCCCATGTGCAGGGGTGGCTGGGGCCTCCCCAGAGCCCAGTCTCCAGCTTGGCCAGGGCAGGAGGCCCCTGACGCAGAACCGGGCAAGATGGAGGTGGGGCAGGCTGAGGGCAGCACGACCTCAGAGCAGGGCATCTCTGGAACCGGGCTACTCTGGAAGGCTTCCTGGAGGAGCAAAATTCTGGGCCTTAGTGAACTGGCTGGGTTTGGGCAGAAGAGACTGGTAGAGGGAAAGCCAGTTGGAGGGGAAGCTTTGGAAGTAGGAAGCCGAGCACTCGTTTAGGAAACTGAATTGACCATCTCAACCCAGGGAGTCCCAGACCAATTCACATCACATCCTGACTGCTGCATTAGATGCCTTTCTGCTCCCCTCCATCATACACTGAGCTCCCTGCTGGAGGGATTGCACACTGTTGTTCACTGCTGGCTCTTCGGTGCCTAGCACATTCCAGGCACATAGCAGTACGTGGTGTGCATGGATGAGTGTATGGGCAATGGGAGGATGTCTGGTAGATGGTGGTGCACCCATGTGTGGGTTGCTGAATGTATAGGGAGATGAGTGCTTGGCTGTGTGGATGGGCCGGTGGATGGATTTATAGATTTATACGGAGTTTGATGGATTGATGAATGAGATGGTGGAAATGGCTGGTGAATGTACAGATGATAGACGGATGGGGAATGGGTGGGCAGTGGATGATTCGGGCATGGGGTGCCCTGACTTTGGGGTTCACCCAGGGTACCCCAACATTGGGGTACAAAGTACTCCAGAGGGACAGATGAATGGATGGGTGGATGTGTGAATTACGGATGGGCTTGGGAGTGAATAAAAGAAGTGTACATGGTCGAGTGCGTTGGTAAATAGCTTAATACTTGGCCAGCTGGTGTTGGGTTAGGTAAATGAAGCAGCTCATGGGTGAGAGAGTAAGTAGGTAAGTGGAGGGGCATGGATGGATGGATGGGTGGATGGGTGGGTGAGTGATGGGTGGATGCACAAAGCATGGATGAGTGGAGAGGTTAGCAGATGGACTGTTAGTTAAATTAGTCAGTAGGTAGAGAAATTATTTGGCAGATGAATGGATGGCAGGAAGATTGATGCTTTTTGTCATGCTTAATCCGCGCATACAGGTATCCGCTCATTAATTATAATTTCCATGTGCGTGCATGCACGTGCATGTGTGCTGGAAAGCAAGCATCCTTTCTCCTGTCTCTCCCCAGCACCCAGTCCAGAGCTCAGCGAGGGAGGAAGCGCAGCCCTCCGCCTTGCTGAGAGTCTCTCTGTCCCCAAGCCAGGCTCGGAACAGCTGCCCTGGCCCCCTGGACCCTAGTGCCTTCCTGGGCTCCGACTTCCTCCTTCCTGAAGAGCCCAAGCCCAAGCTCCCACCACCTCCTGCGCCACCTCCCCTTCTTCAGTACCCAGCCCCTGACAAGGCTCAGGGCCTGCAGCCCTGCACCCCGCCTCCCTTCCCTTCCGGGATTTCAGCCCCTGCTTTGCTGCAGGAGGAGCCCCTCTTCTCAGCCAGGTTTCCCTTCCCTACAGCCCCTCCAGGCCCAGGAGCATCCCCGCTGCCTGCTCCGGCAGCCTTCCCAGCCACCCCTGCGGTGGCGCAGCCCATCCCAGGCCCTGCCTCGGGCCCCACCCCCTTCCCCGTAGACCCTCTGCCTTCTGGGTACCCAGAGCCCAGTTTGGGCTGTCACTTCACAGTGCCTCGGGGCATGCAGCCCAGGGGCGAGCCCCCCACCCAGTTCCCCAGGGGACGGAAGGCCAGCACCCCCACCTTGGCCCCTGCCACTGCCCGGGGCAGCAACCCCTGCCTCACACAGCTGCTGAGGGCAGGTGAGAGGGAACAGAGGAGGTCGGTGATCAGCCCTGGGAGGAGGTGCTGGGGGACAGGGGCAAGGTGGCATGGAATTATGGGTGTGGGCTTTTGGGGGAAGGAGGGTCCCCGAGCGATGCTGGGGTAGGGCCGACCCCAGCGCCCCTCACATTCCTCTGTGTGCAGCCAAGACTGAGCAAGCCCTGGAGCCATTGCTTGTACCCAGCACCCTCCTCCGGCCCCCGGGGTCCCCGGTAAGATGGTGGGCAGTGGGAGGTGGGGAAGAGCCCAAGGCCTTCACCCCAACTTTCTGCCCTTCTGCACCCCAGCAGGAGACGGTCCCTGAATTCCCCCATGCCTTCTTTCCCGTGACCCCGGCCCCTACACCGCCTCGGCCACCTCCAGGCCCAGCCACATTGGCCCCTCCCAGGCCCCTCATTGTCCCCAAAGCAGAGCGGCTGTCACCTCCAGCACCCAGTGGTAAGGATGGGTTACAGGGGTTGGGGGGATCTAGGGGAAGAGAGAAGTGAAACAGTGTCTAAGGTCGTGATGAGAGGGACAGGGCAACAGGACCCTCTCTGCGGTGTGTCATTCTGTCTGTGGGGCTGTCTGTCCTCACCACAGGCAGCGAGCGGCGGCTGTCAGGGGAGCTCAACTGCGTGTCGGCTCTGGGGGCCCTGAGTGTGGGGGCCTCTCCCCCTCCATCCTCCCACTGCCGGGGCCGACCAGACAACAGCAAGGTGAGCACCCCGCCCACCCCCAGGCCCTTGGAGCTCCTTCCTGGGCTCACCCTCTCTGTGCTCTCCAAGACTGAGAACCGGCGCATCACACACATCTCAGCCGAGCAGAAGCGGCGTTTCAACATCAAGCTGGGCTTTGACGTCCTCCAGGGGCTTGTGAGCACACTCAGCGCCCAGCCCAGCCTCAAGGTGAGTCCCCTGCCCAGACTGGCAGCCCAGCGCCCTCCTGGACCCTGCCAGAGATCAGACCACAGAGCCCCCAGATGTGGGGGTCACAGCCCTGGCACCCTGGCCCACTCTGGTGGCACCCGCAGGTGAGCAAGGCGACCACGCTGCAGAAGACGGCTGAGTATATCGTCATGCTGCAGCAGGAGCGGGCGGCCCTGCAGGAGGAGGCCCAGCAGCTGCGGGACGAGATTGAGGAGCTCAATGCTGCCATCAAGTAGGCTGGACCCAGGCGGGTGTTGGGCCAGGGGAGCAGGGGGCTCCGGGCTCCCAGCCCCTGACCCACCCATGCCCGCAGCCAGTGCCAGCAGCAGCTGCCCGCCACGGGAGTGCCCATCACACACCAGCGCTTTGACCAGATGCGGGACATGTTTGACGACTACGTCCGGACACGAACGCTGCACAACTGGAAGTTCTGGGTGGTATCTGCACTGGGGCAGTGGCCTGGGGGCAGCAGGGGCAGCTGGGTGAGCACTGCAGCCAGACCCAGCTGTACCCGAGAATGCAGGCTCAGCTCCATGGGCCTGGGGTGGGGGCTCTAATGATCTTCCAACCCACCCAGCACTGTCCAGTGATGGCTGGGGGCTGAGAGGAAGGAAGCCTGATGGGGGCGGCACAGCCTGCCTGGAGGAAGCCCCTGAGGCAGCCTGGAAGAACCCAAACTAACTGGTGAAGCCTAGAGAACGTGTGGAATCCAGCCAGTGTATTCCTAGAACTCTGGGAGGCTGAGGCAAGAGGATCACAAGTTGGAGTCCAGTTTAGGTGTCTTAGTGGCTTAGGCAGACCCTGTCTCAAAATATAAAATGAAAAAGGGGTGGAGATAGCTCAGTGCAAAGGCCCTGAGTTCAATTCCTAGTATTCAGAAAAAACAAAGACTTGGAATCCACTCTCTTTCCTGGCTAAGGACTTGGGTCCTTTTTTTTTTTTTTTTT